ATCAGTTGTATTCATGATGGAAACAATCTTCTTACTGACCCGCTGGCAATTGAGAACCATATTGTTAATTTCTATCAGACTTTGTTCGGCTCCTCTTTCACCCCTTCAGGTATTGATGAGGTTTGTGAAGTCATCCAGCCGATGGTCACAGACTCTGAAAATGATCTCTTATCTGCATTACCTACTGATGAGGAAATTAAAGAGGCAGTTTTCTCATTAAGTGCTTCCAGTGCGCCAGGGCCAGATGGTTTTCCAGGTTTTTTCTATCACCACTGTTGGGATATTGTCAGCTTTGATGTTATTCAATTTGTGAAGCAATTCTTTCAATCAAATTGGTTATACCCCAATGCCAATAGTAATTTCTTAGTTTTGATTCCGAAGGTGGAAGACGCTATTTCCATGACTCATTTTAGACCTATTGCTTTGGCAAACTTTCTCTTTAAGATTATTCCCAAAATTTTGGCAGTTCGTCTTTCTCATGTTGTTCAACGCATTATTTCTCCGCATCAAGCTGCTTTTATACCTGGCCGATGTATCACAGATTGTATTGGCCTTGTTTCAGAATGTTTCAATGTGCTTGACAAAAAAACTCGTGGTGGCAATATGGGAGTCAAAGTTGATATAGCTAAGGCTTGTGATACTTTAGATTGGTCATTTCTATTGCGGGTGCTTACTAACTTTGGGTTCTCCACTTGTTTTATAGACTGGGTTTCTACCATCTTAAGATCTGCTAAATTGTCCATCCTAATTAATGGTTCCCCACATGGTTTTTTCTCTTGTTCCCGAGGAGTGCGCCAAGGGGATCCTCTCTCTCCGTTACTTTTCTGTCTAGCTGAGGAGGCTTTATCAAGGGGCCTGAGTCGTCTTCAACTTGATGGGCTTACTAAGCCAACTTTTGCTCCAAGATGTTGTATCTCTCCTTCTCACGTTCTCTATGCAGATGACTTATTCATTTTCTGTAGAAGTGATGGTGTCACTCTGCGTAATTTGCAAGGTTTCTTCGATAGATATAGTAGAGCCTCTGGTCAATTTATCAATAAGGCAAAAAGTACTTTCTACTTGGGCTCTACCTCAAGGCATCGCAAAGCTGTGGTTGAGAGTTACTTGGGTTTCAAAGAAGGCAAAGCACCTTTTGTCTACCTTAGAGTTCCAATCTTCTGTGGCAAGCCTAAAAGGAGTCATCTTCAAGCCTTGGCAGATAAAGCTAAAGCGAAGTTAACTGGTTGGAAGGGGAAACTTTTATCTATGGCAGGAAGAGTTCAACTCACTCAATCAGTTTTTCAAAGTATGCTCTTGCATAGCTTTTCCGTCTATAAGTGGCCTTCTTCCTTGCTAAGGCCTCTTTCAAGATGTGCTCGCAATTTTATATGGTCTGGTGACGTAACCTCCAAGAAGTCTGTTACCGTTTCTTGGCGTCAGATTTGTGCTCCGAAGAATGAAGGTGGTTTGGGTTTGCGTGATCTTGGCCTCTCTTAAACACTACTGCTCTCTTAAAGCTTGGATGGCTTATTATTACTACTGATTCCCCTTGGAGTATTTATCTTCGGGAACGTTTCAAGCTACATGGTCGCCTATATTCTTGTAGTTATAAGCGATCTTCTATATGGCCTGGTATTAAATCCATTCTTCATATCTTGTTTCAGAATTGTCGTTGGGTGATTGGAAATGGTTCTACTACTTCCCTTTGGGTTGATAAATGGCTGGATAAGCCTATTGTGGACGTCGTTGGTGCAACAGAGATTGCTCCATCTTTATCTCGTACTAAGGTCTCAAATATTATTCGTATGGGAAAATGGGTTATTCCTTCTTTTTTTTCTTCTACTTTCCTATACCTAACTAATGAGATTTTAGAAATGCCTCTTCCAATTGATGAGGATAAGGACGTTTTAATTTGGGAAGTTTCTACATCTGGTGTTTTTTCGTTCTCCGATGGCTATGAAATTGTTCGTCATCGGTTCCCTGTTAAGAGTTGGGCTTCCACTATCTGGCGTCCTTTCATCCCACCTCGTTACTCTATTTTAGTTTGGAAGATTCTATTCAACAAGCTCCCAACGGAGGATCAACTTCAGCGCCGAGGCATCCCGCTGGCTCCAATATGCCAACTATGTCACAAGAATTCTGAATCTATTGATCACTTATTTTCTAGCTGTGAATTTGCACAATGTGCTTGGCGTTGGCTAGCTACCCAATTTGGCACTATTATTCCACCTACGGGCTCCCTCTCTGATCTTTGGCTTGTTTTTCTGTCAAAGCGGTTTTCTCCTCATCTTCGCAATGTCTGGCTAGCTTCAGGGTTTTTCTTACTAATGGCCATTTGGAAGATGCGTAATAAAGTGAAGTTTGAAGGCAAACCTCCCTCCTTCTCACGTCTATGCCGCTCTACCTCGGCCTGGATTAGGCAGGTTGGAGCTCTCACCCCTGGCCATGTACGAGGCATTTTGGATAGGCAACTTTTAGTTTCTCTTGGAATATCGCCTAACTCCTGTAAAGCTCCTTCTATTGTCCCTGTTCTTTGGCACCCCCCTCCTTTTTCTTGGGTTAAAGTGAATACTGATGGCCTTGCTAAAGGTAATCTGGGTCCTGCGGCATGTGGCGGGGTTTTTCGTGACTCTGCAGGTTATTTTCTTGGTGGTTTCTCCCTAAGCTTGGGCCATCGTACTTCTTTCTATGCGGAGCTCCATGCTGTCATCCTTGCTGTCGAATTGGCCCACGCGCGGGGCTGGCAAAATTTATGGCTTGAAAGCGACTCTTCTAGTGTAATATCATGTTTTGCTTCTGGATCTTTCTCTCCCCCTTGGTCACTCCAGACACGCTGGAACAATTGTACTCTCCATTTGCAGAACATGGTCTTTCGTTGCTCTCATATTTTTCGAGAAGGGAATGTTGTTGCTGACAAATTAGCCAATTTAGGGCTTCTATCATCTTCACTTGTTTGGCACTCCACTCCCCCTATAGAGATCCTTCCTCCTCTGCACTCAGATTTCTTGGGCATGCCAACCTACAGGTTTGTCTCCTCTTCTTGATGTGTGTTCTCCTTTCTTTTCCTAACCTTTTTGGATTCCCTTTTGTTTTGCAGCTTGTCTTGCAGGTTATTACCTTTTAGGTTTTTAGAGGGGTTTGGGCTTATGCCCGCCCAGTCTTTTCCTTGTATTTTCTTTTCCAAGAGGGGTACGGTCTATGTCCCCCCCTCTTTTGTATTTCCTTTCTCAAAAGGGGTAAGGTGCATGTCCCCACCTTTTTTGTATTTCTTTTCTCTTGTTCTATGAGGGGTTAGGTTTATGTCCCCCCCTGTCTAGGTGTATCTTCTTTTTTCTTATCAATAAATTTCCCTCGTACCGCCGAGGTTCTCCAAAAAAAAAAAAAAAAAAAAAAAAAAAAAGATCTGGAGGGTGCCCCAATTGATAGATTTCCAGATGAACTAGTGTACTTGTTCGACTTAAGATATTTAAATTTGAAGGGAACTTTAATTGAGGAGCTCCCGGAATCCATCGGACGGCTTCGCAACCTTCAAACCTTGAACATCCGTGACCGTAAGATAAAGGCACTTCCGAAAGCAATCTCCAAGTTAGTAAACCTACACCATCTAATCATGTATTGTAACACTCTTGATTTTACGGCCTTTAGATATCTCAATGGGACAAAAGCAGCATCTGATCTAAGTAAATTACAGAGACTGCAAGTTTTGTCAGCTGTTGAATCAGAAGGAAAGTTTATTAAAGGCATCAGGAATATGACCCAACTTACAAGCCTCGGTATTACAAATGTGAAAGCAAGTGACGAGATGGACCTCTGTGACTCCCTTCAAAAGTTAGAGCTCCTTCACGATTTGTCTTGAATGGCAAGTGATGCAGAGGAGTTTCTTCGAGTTAATGCACTACGTTCGCCTCCTCCAGACCTTCAAAAGGTTAATTTGACCGGAAAACTAAAAGTACCTCTTTGGTTTAGTTCACTCCATAACCTGACACGTATGTATCTATTTTGGTCTAGACTTGAAGAAGATGTGCTACCTCACATTCAAGCATTGCCGAATCTTGAACATCTTACCCTATCTAATGCATATGTTGGCGAAAAATTGTGTTTCTCTAGAGGCTTCATAAACCTTAAGCATTTGGAGTTGGCCTGCTTCCCGGTATTGAATAGTATAGCTATAGAGAAAGGGGCGATGCCAAATCTCCAGTTCTTAGACATTTATTACTGCATGGGGTTGAAGACATTGCCACAGGGCATTGAGTTCCTTGCCAACGTAGAACGCTTGATTCTGTATTCCGTTCCAATGCAACTTATAGAGTCCGTAAGAGGAGGCATGGATCATCCAAAGGTACAACACATTCCTGAAATCCACCTGTATTATGAGAGAGAAAATATGGAGTGTCATGAAAGTTTTTTCGGTATTCACTCTCGTAGAAGGTACGCACACTTTTATCCTTACATAAAAATTTGATTAATGCTAGATTTACCACATTTTTTGTATCACATTTGTACCACCTTTTTTTATAGAGGTATGGCCCATTGACATATGTAGGTCTTATTTTTATTAGAGATGTGGTATAAATGTGCTATGAAAATGTGGTAAAAGTAGCATTTTTGTAAAAACCACAACATAATCATTTGAACTATTACGTTAGAAAGTTAAAAAGTTGGTGATTTTCACACTCCTATTTTTTTTTTCCTTATACGCTCCTCTTGTTTTTGTTCGTTAGTGTTTTGATTTATTCAATTGTTAGGCTACGAAAAAGAGGAAATAGTGCATCAGAGTGTAAAAATCATTTTCCCTTACAATTTGCTTGTCCAATCTTATATAGAAGTCTGGCAAAGACATAAAATATGCATGCATTGAGATTTTATTCAGTAACTATGTTTCTTTTGTTTTGTAACATCCTTTTTGCATAATCAAGCCTCAGAAGCACTTGTGAGACTGCAGCACTTGTGAGACTGCATTGAGTTCTCTTTTGTCCCAGTTGATTTTACGGTGAATCTTGACTTTCGTTATAGTAACAGAGATGACTATATACATGTTGAGTCATTTGCCCTGCAAGGAAGAATCCGTCCATTGTGTGTTGTGGGAAGTTGCAAACATTGATCGATCTTGGTTTCTTATTTGTCCTTTGTGAAATGGAATAATGCCCAAGATTCTATTTGTGTAACTGAAACTTATATTATTGATTGCTTGCGTGTGTTTTGATGTAATAATATTGGTTTGGAACTGAATTTGTCACTGATGAGAATAATGCTTAAGATACTGTTTGTGTAACAGGAACTTATATTATTGTTTGATTGCGTGTATTTTGATAATAATATTGGTTTGGAACTGAATCTGTCATTGATGAGACCAATTCTAACTAAACCAATGATTATGACCCATTTTTCATTTTCAATATTTATTGCTTTTTATCAAGTTTTCAAATATATATTGTTTTAGGTAGGCAAATTTTGTGGCGGATGTTTTAGCTTACTTTGGTTTTACCTGAGAAATTATTAAATGGTACGGTATTACCACGTTGGCCGGTAATACTTTTATTCAAATTTTAACATGTGTGCAGTTTCTTATAGGCTTACAGCTGGATTAAAAAGCTTTCTTAATTTAAAACTAATTTTTTTTTTCAATTTAACCAAAATTAAAAGAACTAAAAATAAGAGGCGTTTTGACACAAATGCCTAGGGTTTAGCTTTTAAAATTTTGAGATAAGACCATCTCCAATCGAAGGGTCCAGAGGGTCGAAAATAGTCTGAAAACCGTCTCCAACCGAGGACTAGGCCAAAGGGCTTGTGGGCCCCACTAAACAAAAAAAGGCCAAAAGGCTAACCGATTGGCCCAACCCAGCCAGCCAACCCCGGGCCGAGCCAGAAATTTGAATGCAACAACTAGCTAACATCAGCTAGCCATTATATTTGAATTTTTTTTTTGGGCCAAAATTTTTTAAAAAATATTTAATTATAGGCCTAGAAAGTTGATTAGTTCAATGTTGGGTGTTTGGATGTTCCTTTTATAAGCATGTTTGGTTGCTCAAATCTCTCCCATGGACGATGTGGGACAAATATAATGGGTGCCACACATGCAAGCTTTTGCTTGCTTAAATCTCTCTCACAAACGATGTGGGACAAATATAATGGATAGTTTTTAAATTTAAGTTGTTGTAGTTTTTAAATTTAAATAATAAATTATGTTTGGTCCTATGACCCTTTGGTTCTCGATTGGAGATGTTTTTTTGTCACATGACTATGTTTGATCCTCTGACCCTCGGTTGAAGATGATACAAAATATAACCATGCACTGTTCATTAAAGTATTAATTTCTTGGACGGACAGACGGAGATGACATAACCTTTTTTCCTCCCCTCCCTATTCTCTCCCATGGCGACTGCCGTGCTGCCAGTATCCGAGCCCGCGAGACAGCAACCCTGACCAGGTCGGGGCAGATTCGAGGCCCATGGACTATCAGAAGAAGAGGCCCGCGTTTGAGTCATCACCGAAATCGTCAGCTCCATGGTCGACCTCTCCCGGAAAGGCCAAAACGTCTACCTAAACGCCCTCAAGACCTCCGCGTGCCGCAAGTACGGCATCTCACGTGCGCCGAAGCTGGTCGAAATGATTGCGGCTCTACAGGAGTCAGACCGTGAGGCTCTTCTTCCCAAGCTCTGGGCCAAGTCGGTCCCAACCGCTTCGGGTATCGCCATTATCGTGATGTCGAAGCGTCATCGGTGTCCCCACATCACCACCACCGAGAATATTTGCGTGTACTGCCCCAGCGGTCCCGATTCGGACTTCGAGTACAGCACTCAATCTTACACTGGATACGAGCCTACTAGCATGCGCGCAATATTCCTGATAGAGTAATATGAAGATACTCGCCAGGTATTCGTTCTTCATATGTGAGAGAGTGCTTCGTTACATGAAATGATCATTCTATTCTTGTCATGTGCAAAAGTGTTGAGCTGATGGAAGATAAACACTTAAAAAGATTATGATTGTAATATTGAGTAGAATATCTAATTTAATTTCGCTTCAGCATATATAGATGAATTAAGGATCTCACTTTTCCAGAACTTCTTGTTTCTCTTATTTGCGTAGTAATTTGTGCATGGGTTTTACCGATCGAGCAGGTTGTCTATACTGACACTTACCATGATTTGTTTTTGTTCTTTTTGTAAACAGGATATTCTAGCTGGGTTACCGCGATTAAGAAAGTGTGGCCGGAACACTACTTGTCCCGAACTCATAGGAAAGTGTTCTATTGTTCGTGAACTCCACGTTCATGGGACTGCTGTTCCAGTTCATGGGTGGTGGTATCCACACTTCTCTTTTATCTTTCTCTTTCCTCTTAATTTCCATCTGTCAGATCGAATGTATAAAAAAAGATTAAATGATAGAAATTAACAGAAAGTGTAGGAGGTAAAAACGAGTGTGTCAATATCAACACCCTTTTTAGATTGTTGTAAATGTCATCCATTGATTCACCTGGCTGGCTCACTTTCGTACATTTTTGTTCGTTTGGTCTACTTTTGTGACGCAAAAATCTTAAAAAAAGAAGGAAAAATACAGATATAAAAAATTACAGACAATCCTTGCAAAACTGCAATGGAAAATAAGCCAGAAGATTGAAACTATGGCACAGTTCATTCTTTATAGCAAAATCTACTGCAATAAGAGACTGAGACCTTACCTTTCCTCCTCTAGGAAAAAGCTTCCGTTTCCCCGAGCAAGTATGAGCATGACAAAATTGGTGCAAGAAAAACTCTACCAACAAATCAAGGTGTAAGGACAAGTATAAAAACAATAACCTATCTGAAATTATATCAACAAGAGCAAAAAGAAATACCATTAAGACGGCGGGCTGAAGGACTTTGATTAATCGGAAAACAGCTATTGGCAAGACCCTACATTATAAAAGGGGAAAAAGTAAAAAGGATTAAACAAGGTAACGTACAAGAATCAACAATACAACCAATTATAGTGCCTTAAAGCAACCTCACATAGGTGGTGATTCCGTGCAACAGATGCAGGATTGCATTTGGTTTTGCTCGACTTGGTATTCATCACAGCATCGCAATGCAAAGCTCCGCATAAATCAGCTAAGCACTTGCTGCCACTCGGCATTCATCAATTTTTTTTCAAAGAGCAAAAGAGAAACCATATGACGGAAACAAAAATCATACATACGATTAAAGATATAATAGAAAAGATAGAGATCAAATAAATTTATAATCATCTATTGATGTATAATGCAAGTATGATTGAAGCAGACGCAGAATAGCTCTTTGGGCTTTGAAACAACTCCAGATGCTAACTACCCTTCCCCCGGAGTACCAAGGTACAAAATACACATCTTAAGGAAAGATTATCACTTGGATATCTCTTTATCTGTGTTATACAATGCTATCTTGTACAGAAGTTTATGCCATGTAATTGTTCTTTGTCATTTTTTAAGAAATAGTTTTATGATCTAATTTATTGCATCATGCTACAAGCCTACAACTAAAATGATAACTTCAAATTTGCTTAATTATTTTTTTCGAAAGCACGTTTATGAAACCCCAACACAACAGGGAACTGATAAACATGGACTAGATGCAAACGCTTTTAAAAGAAAAGTTCTTTCATTTGCAGATAAGCTGAATAGAGATAATTCGAGGGTTTATCAACTAGAAGGACAAAATATAAATATAACAGAGGATAACAAACGCACACTTTTATCCTTGCATAAAAATTTGAGCAATGCTAGATTTACCACATTTGTATCACCTCTCTTATAGAGGTCAGACTTATCAACATATGTAGGTCTCATTTCTATTAGAGAGGTGCTACAAATGTTGTATGAAAAATATGGTAAGAGTAGCATTTTTGTAAAAAAAAATTCCACGACCTAATCATTTGAACTATTACGTTGGAAAGGTTGGTGATTTTCATACTCCTATGTTTTTTTTCTTATGCGCTCCTCCTCTTGATTTTGTTTGTTAGTGTTTTGATTTATTCAAATCTAAGGCTACGAAAAAAGAGGACGTAGTCATCGAAGTGTAAAATCAATTTTCCTTGTAATTTGCATGTTCGATCTTATTCACAAGTTTGGCAAAGACATAATATATGCTTGCATTGAGATTTTTTTCGGTAACTGTGTCTCTTTTGTTTTGTAATATTCCTTTTGTAGAATTAAACCTCACAAACACTTGTGAGACTGCAGTGAGTTTTTCTTTTTACCAATTAATTTTGTAGTGGATCTCGCATTTCGTTATAGTATCAGAGCAAACTATAAATAAGTGTTAGAGTCATTCGCCCTGCAAGGAAGAATCCGTTGTTTGTTTGTTTCTTAGGACGACTAGGTGCCTGAGGAAAATCCGTGTATTGATATAAACCTATTGTTCTTGTAGCTTTTCGATAAAGACCCGAAATTTCCACCTGAGCTCTGAATATTTTCAATTTCAAGTTCTGGACTTCTTCTGCAACTGGGTCTTGCCAAGAAACTGGTGTATTTGCAGAGAGGTTCATGACTGAAGTTGCAGTGAAGGAAAGCTGAGTCTGAGTGTTAATTGCAGAAGTTCCGAGTTGGAAATTAGTCGGGGAAGAAGAAGGGGAGAGGGGGGGAGGGAGTTTGGGGGTTGTGGAAGAGAGAAGAGGGTGAAAAGCACAGGTGATAAGCCATTTTCCTTCTCTGTATCTTGGTTTGACTCACTTTTGCCTTTTATTCATAATATTTCAAAGCAATTGCATGAAAAGCAAGGAAAATAAAGAATTGAAATAGGGACAAGTGGGGTGCTGTGTTTCATGAATGAAATGATGTTGTGAATGATATTTGACAAGAAAAGAGGCCGGAGCTCTTGGAGTGAAGCTTTAATGGATGACAAATGGATGTGAACACAGTCGACCAGAGCAATGAGCTTGAACTCGAGTAAAAAGCGATGTAGTATTTTTGTGTCAAATTTTTATTAGTTAAAAAAAAGTTATAATAGTTGGATAAAATTTTAGTCACAGTCAAAATTTGAGTAATGATATTCATACCATATTTTTTATACCACCTCTGATATGGACATCCACATCATTTGAAAAATTTGCAAAACCCAAGAAAATGAAGGAGAAAGACTCTTCGTATATCACAATCATCATTTAATTAACTAATTTTTCTTATTATTAGTTTATTAAATAATAAACTAAATTTAAAAATCTGATTAATTCAAATGATGTGGTTGTATACCACCTAAAACGGTATAAAAATGTAGTACAAAAATATGGTATGAATAATATTACTTCCAAAAAATTTAAGCCTTTGTCATTAGTTTTTCTTATAAAATAAAGGTTATCTATTTTCTTTTTCTTTTTATTCGTGCAGCAAGTGAGGTTATTTTTCTACCGATTCGAATCCAGAGCTTGACATTCCTTACTTTAACTTGGTGTATTTTTAATCATCATCGTCAAATAATGATAATATGATTCACCACCCTACTTAGTATCATTAAATGATTTTAAATTTCATCTATTCACTAAACATATTTTGAAATTTAAACTAATATAACAATGGTATTCACTACACATATTTCAAAACTTAAAATAATGTAACTGTAAGAATTTGAAGGTAAAAGAGTCTTACAATGGTGAAAGGAGAAACCTTGCAAGGGTTTATAAAAGGTTAGACTAATTCCCATATTACTAATTAGTTTTATGGTGGAACCCTAACTTTTCATAGTATCAGAGTAGGTTGGCCCACGTGTGAAGCTCAATAGCTACATGTGCTCCACGTCACCTAATTCGTGTTGTTCACGTGTTTGGTTTGGAAATTAGCCACACGTGAGAATATGAAGATAAAAAAGTTTCACGTTGATGAAAATAGATCATTTGCAAAGATTTATAAAAAGTTAAATTACTTCTTATATAATAAACTAATTTTATGATAAAAACTCAATTTTCTTAAATAATAATAATAAATAAAGTGATGTACGTGCACAAAAATATTTCCTATATAAACTTTAATAGGATCTCACCTCATTAATGCATCCTAAGCCGATTCCTATCACGAGTTTCAAGGTTTTGCAAATTGCCACATGCATCAAATTATTACTTTTCTCCATGAGTCTCGGTTTTTGTCAAAAAGTCTACATACATAAACCATTTGACGTATCAGTTTTGTCCAAACATAGTGGTCTTTGTCCCATTAAATATTGGCAAAGAGTTGTCTTATACGGAATAGGATCATCTCCCATTTTTTTTTTGTGAAAATTCGAATGATCAATTAATTGTATATTGTGTAATTAAAAATTAATTTTAATTTTATATTTAAAATTAAATATAAATAATACTTAATGAAAACTGATCCTACAATATACGATGTATGAACAAAATTAATTAATCTTCGGATCCACACAAAGAGGATCCAGAGAGGATCCTCGTTCGTCTTATACCTCCTCTTCGGATCCTCTTTGTGGGAATCCGAGGGATAAATCAATCTTGTTTCTTCATCGTATATTGTGCGATCAATTTTCGTTAAGTACTATTTATATTCAATTTAAAATTTAAAATTTAAATTTAAAATGATTTTTAACCATACGATGTACGATGAACGAATAAGATTGATTGATTCTCCGAATCCCCACAAAAAGGATACAAAGAGGATCCTTGTCATTATTGCAGGTTGTAGACTGTAATATTAAGGGGCTAATCGTTAGATTCGTTAAGCAAATGGACAAATAGGCTCATCTCCGTTAGTATTTAATAATTAAGTTTCGTACGTAATTAATTATTGTTTAGGCTTGATCTAAAGACAGACACATACTCCCGTAGTGCTCTCCTCACTACGATTGCGTGAACTCCAACGCAATAAAATTTGAAGATACGACAAAAATTTTACAAAACTCGGAATATCAAGAGATTATTATAATTCTACTATGATCAGTGCACTACCAATTATTTAATGTCTTTTTTCTTCTTCAAATAATTGGTTTTGGTCGGTGGGACGCACCCACGTGACCACTCCTCTTCCCCGTGTAGTTTCACTCTTCCCCTCACGTTTCACTCAGCTGTGCCACACTCATTCTCTTGAAAATTTGTGAGGGATAGATACCCTCTTAAACTTAAAAGTAGTGCTTCTTCCACCGGAGGTCTTACTTTTGCTCCTCCCCTTCCATAATTTGGGTTTTGGTCTTTCACCTTTCTATAAGTAAAGCCAAACCCCAACACTAATTTCTCAATGTTCCTCCCTTTTAAAGTATGTAAAAATTACGGGAGCATTTTTGTTTACTATTATGATTATAGTGTATACTTATTGTATATCTAATCATTTGATACGCGGTTAACTTTCACATTGAATATTACTTTTTCAATTTAAAAAAAAATAATCAAAGTTAAATGAAAAAACACGTAACAAATAATTAAGTGTATAATAAGCATATACCAAAATTTATAACGGTGAGCAAAATGCTCCCAAAAATTAATCTTCACTTTCCTCTTCTTTCTTGTATCTCATAAGGAGAACCTACTGCTGTTTTCAAGTTTCTACACTAAATAAAATTCTCAATTTCTGCGCATGGGATTAGTAAAAAGTAGGAGTTGTGTACATGTAATTAGGGTTAACGTTTTGTAAGTTATAGCTCCTCTAAAATGATTTCGAATTTCGAAGTTATCGACCAAAAAAACCCTCCCCCCTTCACCAAAACAATCTGGTGTATATAATATGGAGAAAGCTTCCATAAAACGATAGATGTATATACTATTTGTATCATACTTGACCAATCCCGAAACTACTGAGCACCGGTCAACGTTATACCGTCAAGGACCCAGAAGAGTTTCTCTCCAACCGGAAGGCTAATCACAGTGCGACATGTGTCGACATCAGAAGCCAATTATAGCACGACATGTGTCAACATCAGAAGCCAATCACAACATAACACGTGTCAATGTCAGAACAAAGCTAGAAACTATTTTCTATAAAAGGAGATCATTCTCCCACAATATTTCCTAATGTCATTTGTACTAAATCATTCCCTAGTACTCACTAAATGAGAGCTTGAACTTATGTAAACCCTTCACAATTAATGAGAACTCCTCTACTCCGTGGACGTAGCCAATTTAGGTGAACCACGTACGTTTGCTTCCTTGTCTCTATCCGTTTACATACTTATCCACACTAGTGACCGGAGCAATCTAGCGAAGGTCACAAACTTGAC